GTACACATCTTGACAGTTCTTTATAAAACTATTAAAAATGAAAGATATTGGTGCTACTGGATCTAGCTTCTTTCTTTCATTCCTGTCATCTGGGTTATCAAACCTTAAGGCTGACAGGAGAATACCAAATCGTTTTATGTTCATGACAGCTCTGAATATATCTCTTCCAGAGCCATCGGTGGCAAAAAGTGTTTCAATGTTCTCGTGGTTGCTGTTGAACACCGATGTATATACTAAGAGACCCAATAGTGCCTTTATTTCTACTAAATCAGTGTCGTTTAGGTTGCTGGTTTGATTTTTGTATCTCTTTCGCATTTCTTTGAGCTTGTGATTGGTCCACTTAACGATATGTACCAACATGTCGTCAGTGAACAAAAGCTGCCAAACCGTCAACGGAGCTGCTTCTTCTCCATATTCATGAGCTTTTCCTCTTAGAGTTGGTACTTTAATGACTATATTGTGCTTCCTTGTACGTGATGATGGTACAACTTCCGAAATATTCCACCTATGACGATTTTTTCCATAGAAATAATTCTGAGCTGGTAAATCCTCTTCATTTCCTTCGGCTCCGTCTTCTGATAACTCACTATCACTTGTATGATCTGATTCCATGTATTCGTCTTCTGAGGCACTGTCTATATCACTAAAGTCACTTCCTTCATCCTCAAACCATTTTAGAACGGTTTCTTCGAACTCCGGATCATCGTATCGTACACGTTTAGAAGGTCCCGCCATACTCGCAAACGCACCTATGCAACACAAATAGCAAACGGGAACGGAAACGTGCCGTCTGACAGACTGCAACAAACTAAAATTGGTCCATATTTTAAGGCACGTTTTGGCTAGACTCGTGTGAATGGGGGTGGGCGATGGTCACTAATAGCTTATGGATTAGATGGGTTTTTACGTCTGTTAGAGGTGCAATAAAAAAAGATACGCTCAGGTATAGAAACGCCGCAGTCTCACAGACGGCACCTTTCCGGTTAAGGGTTAAGCTGTCCTTTTGAGCTTTTTGATAAAATGCCGAAACCTCTTATTCGACAAGCAACAGAATTCGTCATTTCTTTGACGAAATATTTTGAGACTGAACGAGATCATGGAGCTCCATTATTGCCTTTACAGTCAGTAAGAGAGGTATTAGGTAGTAAATAGAGTGTTTAAAAAACATACGCTCCGTAATGTTGGTTGCGGTAAGGCATCGAATACAAAGTACATTTGGTAAAACGTCCTACGATCTAGTAGTTAATGTGGCAACCATGTGCGTCACTGTCATTATTTGACGTTGTATCGTAACTGCTTTGATTCAGTGAATAAACTACAAAGTATACAATGTATGTGGGTCTTCTGTCTTCTTATAAGAGCAGGTTGCTATTGATCTAGTCATCACTTGAGGAAAGTGAAAAATGCTTATTCAATATCTGCGAAGGGGTTTTCTGTATCAAATTCCTGAAATGCCATTGTATTATGTTTCAATCCGTTTAGTCCTCCTAATCATTACTAGGACATGATTACATGACTTCCAGGAGCCGCCTAGATGAAAACATTTTCTGTTGCCAGGTCAATACATCCGGTTGAATTGGTACAATCATCCCTAACATGTCTGCATTGCTCATCCTTGTTTGATTTTCTATAGAGGTAATTATCAATATGCATGTATTCAAAAGCAGACCTACATGTCAATCGGCCGTGGTTATTCATTTCTAAAATCAAATGTTAATTATTTAATCTAGTTGGTGGCTAGGAATTTTGCATGCTCGCGTTGTTCAAATTTCGCATGAACTCGATATGTGAAGGACAGCTATCCACCAATTTTCCCCTTCTATGTATTTTCAGAATTCAACCATCGTGTTATTCCTAAGCCTTTTTTCATAAGCTCCATTTCACTATGCGTTTTGAATTGAGTAAAAATGAGCTATTTATTCTATAGGTGCCAGGAAGCTACGAGTATTTTCTGGTACTTCAGATCACTGAGCTCACGAAAGAGGCGTATATATTTTTAAAAACGTGCAAGTAGAATAACTAATTAAAATTGGGCGTAGATATATTAAGTGTCAAGGTACTGTATTTACTATATTGTTCAACGCTAGAAAAAGATTGCTGAAATCTCGCGGTCTTCCATCAATCTAATCTTTAAAGACTGACTTAACTTGGTGACAATGACATAAAGAAACTAGAAATATATTATTTTGCCAAAAATTAATGCACTAAAGCTCTGGTAACCCCGTTGAGTTATCAACGGGCAGTTGCGCAAACCACTCGAGACGTGTTGATATGTAACGTGATTTAGACTTTTTAGTATTTTTAGTATGCCTATTATGTCAAACAGATGCGTAGTATTACCGGGATCGGCAGCTTCTTAATGCTGGAACGAGTTTTACTGATTCCACTCCACCCAATCTCAAATCCCAATTTTCTATCACTACTCAAAAAAAAAATAACTGGATGCGTGCAGGAGTCTCTGAAGTATAAAAAACTAAATTTGAGTAACTCTAATTAATTGCGTTTTTTGCACGTAGCTCCGCCGCCACTTGATCGATTTTCAAAACCTGCAAAGTTTTTTTGTCCTGTTATAGTTATAACTAGAGACCGGATTATATGAATTTGCATAGTAGCATATGCATTTGCATATTAGGCCTATTTTCGCTGGTTCTTGCATATTTCAACAAAAATCTAGAGACGTTGCATATTTTTGCTATAATTACAACTTTTTCGGTCTGTTATCTCTATAATAAATTAAATTCTACGTTGCAGCTAGACAAATTTATTGATCTCACGCTTTTGCGCCAGACGATAAGGTTTCCACTAAAAATATTGGTAGATGAGACGTTCTAGCGGGTTAGCGCCTACATTTTATATGCGAAAGTGCTTCCAATGAACAGGCAGCCTAAGCAGCCACGCATTAAGGCCAAGTAGACCACTGACGATCCACGACACCAGGGCACTCCATGTAAGTATTTCGCTCACCGATTACACCGGCTTGCTGAAACAGTGCGATCCACATTTGGGAATGTGAATAAACTGATTTCATCCACAAAAAAGATAGTTCTAAGGGCACCTGCTCGCATCCTGACCTACAGAGAAAAACTGCCAAAAATGTACTTTTACCTCCCGAATCAGTGGTAACTCGATGGGGAACGTGGATTGAAGTTGTACTGTTTTACAGTGAATATTTCGAAGACATGAAAGATGTAGTAGATGATTTCGATAATGCAGATGGTAAGGCAATTTGTGACTGCAAGGAAGCATTCAACAACTCTAGTATCAAAAGGAACATAGCTATGATTATATAGCACTCCGTTTTGCCAGATGCATTCTCGTCTAAGTTTAAATATAAGTTTGAAAGCATGTTAAACAATAACCCAGGCTTTTAATGTTTATGTCAAATTGAGAGCTTTATTTTTGGTAGTGGTAACGTTTTGCCGGAGACAATAAAAGCTAGCATAGCACCCAGATTCAAATACTGTCCAGTCCTCTCCTTAGATGTGAAGCAGTCTTTTTCGACCTGTAATAATATTTTGAGTGAATGTTGCTGAACGTTACAATACATTATTGTTTGTGTTTTCAAAAATAGCAACATGTTAACTAGACACTTACAGATCTCATAGATAAGTCATTCAAGTGCTTAATTATTATTTGTAAGCCGATTTTAAAACAAAAGAAATATAAAATCTATTGTTTTATTGTCATTTAATTTTGCATATTTTGATACTTTCAAGAATATTGTAACCATTTTTCATGCATATTTCAAACTTTTTGTGTTGCATGTAATCCGGGTCTCTAGTTATAACCTTAGGTAAATGATTCGTTGGGGTCACTTCCTCGCCAGCTGACGTGGGCACCTTGACTTAAGCGGCTGAAAAATATCTGCTAATGTGTGTAAACATACTACTTGCTGTATCTGTATCTAGATTCTTCAGGTAATATGGACAACAGTATCAGGATCTGGGTATGTATAAATCTTTATCAGTAATTTATATCGGTATTTAGATGCTAACATTCATCATCAAATGCAGCACGGATGAAGCTGTTTTCCAACTTTGAAGGTCCTAAATTCCTCTAATACTGTATAAGATGTTTCCTAATCCAAGTTATGCAAAGATTGCGTCCCGTCAACTACTAGGATATTTCAGAAATTAAGCGTCCATAACTCAATCCAGTCAGGGTCAGGGGTGAGGAATTTCGCATCGTCTCATTACTCGAATTTCACAACAAACTGTAGCCCGGTCGCGATTTATGAGGGGAGCTGTACGCGCTATTTTCCGTACTCAAGGGTGAGAGACGACAAGGCAGACGCGGAGGGGAGAATTTCATCCCTCGCACGTTTCACGATGTGTATCATCGAACAAGTTCGGCCATGGATGGCGTTAAAGGTATTTGTGTAAGGGACACAAACATGGGCGCCCGAAGGAATTTTTCCTAGGTTGGCCGATTAGACATCAGTAAGAGGGAATTTTTATATCCCTTCAAGAGCGTGTTTTGTTTATTTCCAAGGAAAGGCAGGTAAAAAGAACATTGTAGGACCCTTTCGGGGCGAGGACGCAGTACACCACTTGGCGTCGAGCGAAAAGGCGGTATACGTGGTTTAACCCGTGGGAGCTTCGTAATTAATAAATTTCCTGATAATTTTATCAATTCACGGATTTTAACGGCTTATAACAATCTTAAAAATGCGTTAGCCCAAAAATTGTTAAAGAGCGGAGTGGCAAGATCTGCAAGATCCCAAAACATACGAGTATACGCAAAAGCATGTTAATATGCAAAGCTTCTGATTATTTTTGGGCTAAGTAATGAAATTTTTAGGCAGCTCGCTCTTTAGGCCAAGCGAAAGTTGAGGCGCAGGATGCCGCAGGTGAGGTGTTGTAGTGCAGTAATAGCAGCGTCAAATTAATAGCGAACTTGAACGTTAGGGGATAGGGGGCAGATCTAGGTATTATTTTAAGTCACGGCAGTAGGAGTGTTCCTAGGGTGAACCCTAATCCAACGATGAATCAACTAGGTCATTAGTTAAACCTACATCTCTTTCCACTCGGCCCTACAGTTTCTAGGCTCTAGTTCTCTTTAGATAACAAGAGGAGACTAAATGTAGTACTGAAATTCTTATTAGTATGCCATTTTGTAGAGGAGAAAAAGTGGCAATGATGATGTGCAACTTATTTTGGAATCCCACCCTAAATAAAGTTAAGACAAAATACATAGTGTTTTGAAAAAATTTGTGTTTTTCGCATATCCCTGGAAAGCTTTACCTCCGTTTCAATGGTTTCTATCTCTTACCGTTTCCGAGATTACAATTGTGAGTCAAATTTAACACACTTAGGGCCGATTTCACCAACATTATTATTATGGACCAATAGGAAAATACCTTATCGAAATGCAATTTGACGGAAGCTGTCAAAGGTCTCAGAATATCAGTGATTTCTATTAAAATGTTGAATAAAATCGTGAAAATTCGACTGTATTATAAACAATACCACTGTTTGATTCCAACATGATGCTTTTGAACAAAGAAAACAGGACAACTTTCATGTATTTTAATTTATGTTATAGGTGTACATTTGACCATCCGTTATCCCCTCAGCGAATGGGAATGGGAGAAATAATAGGTCAATTTTCTAGCTGTTAAATTTGGCAGCAGGTTTGGTCGTTTGTTAATTCATGGCGATCTCGAAATTTGTTAAGTTCAATATACTGTGTGTGTATTATGAGATCATTATAGCTACAAATACATGTTTAATTGTGCGGATTTGCAAGAAAATAGAATATAAAATGTATTCCAACCAATTCCTCATCTCTCTTTACATCATAATAGTAATCATTTGTTATAAATTCATGGGTTAATGAATATCTTCAAAGCAATCAAAACAATATGTCGTCCCCATCCTAAAACACCGATATGTGTAAAACATGTTGATCCCCACATCTCCGAGGTGCATAATGCAATTACTGTAGACATAGACCTAAAATTATTAGTAATTACTGAAAAATAATGTCGGGTTCATGCACGACTTAACGTAACCGAATTTAAGGATCAGCTGTTTCTACACCAGTGTCCTCCACATGTTTCGCCGCCAGATGGTAACTAGCTAGTGATTTCCAGTGGTGGTCAAACGTTTTGGTTACGTCACAGCCATTTTTTGACATGATTCGGGTGATTTCGGAACTCGTCTTACCCTTGGATAGCCCTTTCTATACTATTCTATGCTCGTATTGACGTAATTATAATAATTCTGTGGTGTCTCGTGTTCCACGACGATTTACGGTCAAAGCCAGGCGGTGAATCATATGTTGTTTTTGTTTGAGTTCTTGATGAATTTGCGGTAGAGATTTGTTTTGGTGTTCGTCTTCGGATGTGTTTTTCTGCCTTGGACTTGTTTTATGTGCGATTAATTGATGATGGCCATGCCTAGAGCAAAAAAAACGAGAGCCGCGCTGGTATCAACTCCTGACCGTGGTGAAGTTTTACCTGCAGAAGGCACCTGAACGCAATCGGGCATCGCCAGAGGAGCGCCTAATGATGACGTCGTGTACACGTTAAATCTGCACGAACCCCTAAATACGTCGTTATGTTGAATGTACCATCACCGATGGTGCGACTGATTATACACTGAAATTAAAACAAAGAACTGCAACTGCAATTGTATGTATGAATGTTGAAACTGTTGAACAGTTTCGGACCAGTGGGGTTAAAATATCGTTGAGGAACTGGAAAGAAGTGTATGAATGTGTTGAAATGCAACGCCTAAGAAAAAATAGAGTGAAAAGGCTTTTTCATGTAAGGGTTTAGAAGTGCAAGTTTGCAAATATAGGATAAACTATAAGCACACAGTAGGTGATATAATCACATATGGATTACAAAAGTTGCAGTAAACAGTAAATCTTAGGCTAATCTGAAAAAATAGACTTTACTCAGGCATCAAGCATTTTTAAAAATTTTGGCTCAGTTTTACATAATTTCATAATATTTAATAAACTGAAAAGATTTCAATGGCAAGCTGTCACTTCATATTTTACAGTGTTTTGTTTTGAATACTTTGATGCTATTTGCTGCCAAAAATTTGACGGAGAGATCTTGAGGCTGATTGGGTATATTTAACGGACTGTTTGGTACTCTTACTCTATTGGTGCAGAATAATGGTTTGTTAAATTGTGAAATCCACCCTTAGTGTTAATGTAACATCTGAAACTTGAAACTTGTGTGTGTCATTTTTTTCTGGCCAAATGAAACTACATTATGTAAAAATTACTGTCTCGAGCACCACGGTAACCTTTTTCAAGGTACAGGCCAAAGTTCGCAATGATTGCCATAGCACTCAATTAACTAGTATTCACCTTTATACCGGACTATTAAATAAAAAATCGTGGTCGCTGTTTTGAAACAGAAAACCTACGGTTTGTTTTTCGGACAAAACAAATGTGTGCGAATCGGTTGTATTTATCAAACGGCCTTTGTTCAAGCCACAGTGTACCGAGAAATAGTTAATTTGGTTTTGTCCAGGTCAATAGTTTAAATGCGATTTGCAGCTTTGCTGCCACGACCAGATAGACAATTTAATTCAATCGGCACCTGGACAGCGGCTTGGTTTCCGCTATTTTCTGATAGGATCATCTCACTGATAACGAAACGATTTGAACACAAGGTTCTACAGACCGACAGGAAAATTAAAGGACAAATTCAACACACAAAATCAATCAAAACTTATCTTACATACTCAAATTTAAAATTCGACCAATATAGAATGTCGCGCATTTTGGTTCGAGTACTTATGTGGGCCGCAAACAAATTTATTGATGTCTACACACAACGGATCTATTGAATAAAACAAAAGAATTGCCTTGGAAGTAAAATCTTATAAGCACAAAGTATCTATCATTTCCATTTCAATAAGAATAAGTTTATTTTTTAAACTTAATACTGAAAAAATCTCCTACATTTAAGTTTTTCTTGTAAGTCTTTACTTATTCCTTATCGTAATTATAACTATTTACTTGGATATCGCTGTTAACGGTTACGCTTGCAAGACAAATCACGTTAAGTCTGTATCTTTTTGATACGGTGTGTACAATGTTAGTTACCGATCAAGACTATAATCATGCAGTCGAGTGAGGAAGAATTACATGTCCAGATTGGCTGCTAGAGGCTCATATTCGCCAGGTTATTAAAAAATCATGGAGTTATTTTGAATAAATCAATGATTCCGTCGATCGCTCAAGCTAAATAAAAGGGATGGACGAATAATAAAGACGAATTTGTTAAGACTTCTGGTACAAGTATTATCATTGAGAAATTGAGAAAAATCCTCAATAACATGAAAGCAGATGTAAATAAAAAAAAACTAATAATCACACGACTGGTAACAAAAAATTTAAACTACGTGAGTGGGAAAATGAATCTTATAAATACTGAATAATGAAAAAAATCCAGTGCTCGTGAACGTTCTTGGAAGTAATAATAACGGAAAAATAGATACTTCCGAAAATAATGGATCAACTAGTATAAGTTCACAGTTACCTCCTTTACCCACAGAAACGATAGGCAAGCGTCCAAGTAAGTTGAAATGGCCATTTACTCTTTTATCTTCGAGAACGTTAAAAGCCTAATTACTCCATCACAACATGGTTTCATCAAAGGTAGATCCACTACGTCAAATTTAATGACAATTACGCAGTATATAGCAGAATCGTTAGACAAGAAACAACAAGTCGATGTTGTTTACATGGATTTTAGCAAGGCTTTCGAGAAATGAAACCATCATCTTCTTGTGTATAGCCTTCATCATTTCGGCCTTAGTGACTCGTTAGTCGGTCTTTTAAGCTCATATGTATCTTTCTAATAGGACGCAATATGTTTACTATAATGGTTATTCTTCAGCAAATTATACTGTTCCCTCTGGAGTACCGCAAGGCTCAAACCTAGGTCCCTTGCTGTTTTTATTCTTCATAAATAACCTAGTCGCTTCACTAAAGTGTGAATGTCTACTATTTGCTGATGATCTGAAAATCTACACCAAAATTACAAATTTGGAGAGCTGTATTTCCCTTCAGGACGATCTGCATACCATCAGACAGTGGTGCGACAATAATATTCTCTTAAATATTTCCAAATGTAAAGTATGTTCATATTGTCGTAAAATGAACCCGATTATGTTTGATTACTCCATAAATAATGCGGTTTTGGAGAGAACAACAGAGACTAAAGATCTTGGTGTAACATTTTCCTGTAGATTGGACTTTTCTGTCCATGTAGCACGCGTCACTTCCGAAGCGACACGGATTCTGGGTTTCATAATGCGCAACTGCCGATCTTTTTCCAACGAAGCGGCACTAAAAGCTCTTTTTATTTCACTGGTGCGACCAAAACTTGAGTATGCCTGTTTGATATAGAACCCTTTCTATGCGTATTATATAGGCATCTTAGAAAATGTGCAGAGGAAATTTCTTAAATTCTGTGTTTATAAAATCGATGGCACATATCCAGAAAGGGGGGTCTCTCAATTTGTTTTGCTGCGTCGTTTTGAACTAGAGTCTCTACAGTTAAGACATTCCACTGCTGGCCTATCATTCCTTCATAAGCTTTTGCACGACTGAGTGGATGCACCAGAACTTCTCCAGAGGTTAAATTTCTATATTCCACGGTTAAATACGAGAAGAACTTTCTACTGCAGTACCTCCCGTACAAATGTATTATTTTATTCTCCGCTACATTCTATATACAACAATTATAATTCCATAGCAGACAGTTCTGACATTAATTTTGATTGTATCAGTAAGATCGTGTCGAATTTGAGGTACTATTATAATAGCTAGGTCTATTTTTTAAATTAGTTTTAGATAGATATACATTACATGTATGAATTATAAGTAAAGTTACCATGATATTGTCCTTTAATTGGAATAGTTCTGTTGGGCAGTAATGTATAAATAAATAAATAAATAAGTAGGAATAAATGCAAGCAAGAAAGTGAAGAAACCGAAAAGTTTTCAACACAACAGTTACAACGACTTATTCTACTTGAACAATTGAATGTTGCTAGACTTCAGGCGAAACGAGAACAACTCATGATTAAAAAAGTGACATGCTGTGCCAGATCCTTGACCTACAAATAGTTCTGTGGAAGAAGAAAATGCTGACGGTATTATGAACGACTTACGAAAATTCATAGACAATTTTCAACATTTTGTTTTTATTTTGTATTCAAGAATTCATTAAATTAAATACTACAACTACAGAAACTTGTTACTTATTCCAATATTATCATAAATAAAGGACATTTTGTTTATTCACAGCGCCAATTAAGTGACAAAATAATGTATAAATAACAACATATGATGACAAATTCAAGTTAAAACTAGAATCATTTTGAACAATATAGTTAAACATAGTCTCCACTATTGCTTGACGTTCTTCCGCACCTTTTTGAGGAATGTTATCTACTTCCTCTACATCTTAAGCCACGCCATGTAAGTCCTCGGGCCGGTTTATTTCATTTTGTTCGATGGCGAAGCCATCCGGTAATAGATATTTGCAAATGTTATGTAGAACGGCGCAGCAAACAAAAATTTTTGGAACTTTTGCCAAAGATAATTTCACTTTACGATTTAAAGTGGGAAATCTCTGTTTCAGCTGCCCAGATACTCTTTCAATTGTGACTCTTTCTTTGGAATGGCAAACATTGAATAGTTCCTCTCTTCTGTTTTGAGGGTTTCTAAATGGACACAATATGGAGCAATTCATATCCACTATCTGCGAGAAGAGAAAAATTACCTCGAAATCGAGCCATAATTTCATATTTGAAGTTTGTTTCCGAATTCTGGAATCGTGAACGCTTAAATGCCACTGACTATCTACACTTGTAATCACGTCATTTGGATCACAAGCTACTTTTATACTCGCAAATCCTTTTCTAATGACATAATGTGGTTTGTTAGTACAGTGTTTAGTGACTTATTGGCGAGTGTGTCTGGGATCCGGTGGTGTGAATTCTGTCTAAATAGCGTAGCAGAATGAACGGAATTTGTGTGACGGGATTTTGGATACGATGTTGGTGACAGCTGTACGAACAGGGCCATTGTCACCAAAATCCGAAGGTTTTTTGATTTGGACATGAGTACAGACTAACGCAACGATGACAGTAGGTGTAACAAATCGATTCGACAATTTTCTTTTTGCTTTTTCTATGCCCTCCAGATCAGACGGGAGCTTTATTCACTCATGGGCTTTTTCAAATATTCTGTCAGCAACATAATATATAGTTTGGCATACTGTTGACTGGTGGACGCTGAAATCTTGAGCAATACCTGTTTGAAATCCAGTATCACCAACATACCGCAGAAATATTTCTATTCTTTGCCGTGAGGTAAGTAAAATGTTCTGATAAATAGTCACGCAGTTTCTTTTTATTCAACTAAAAAGAAGGAAGTACTGAAAAAACCTAAGTGAAGTCTTATGTTTCAAGTAATTACTTGAAACTGTTGTATGAGTTTGTGTTCTTTAAGTTCGTGTGCTCTGTACTTTGACAAGTGATAGTTGTGTTATGTGGCACGGACAGCAACAAGGACAGTCCAGCTTAATAGAAGATAATAAAACATCGTGTAAATCCTGGATCATTAATAAAACATATAAAAAGTATAACTAGAGTATAAAACAGAAATTGAATGAATTTACTTAATTCTATGAGTAGACTCTTCTTTATGAAGTAATGGGTGATTTTTTTGCTAGTATCTTCTTGGCAACACTGTTTTTGACATATACGCGTGAATCGTGTCTTGTGTCATTGTCAAACTTGTTCAGTTTGGACTTACGAACGAACAACGCTTACAAATTGTTGAATTTTACTATCAAAATTAATGCTCGGTTAAGAGAGTGCATCGAGCACTGCTTCCAATTTATGGGCAATTTGGTCGGCCTACTGAGGGAGCTATTCGGAAGCTTGTGACTAAATTTCGAACCTAGTTTACATTATTGGACATTAAACCACCAACACGCAGACGAGGAGTGAAGAAAATATTGCGGCTGTATCCGCCAGTGTTAGTGATGACCGTGAAATGTCGATTCGCCGCCGTTCGCAGCAATTGGGCCTCTGTTACTCCACTACGTGGAAAATTTTGCGAAGGATTTGTGTAAAACCTTATAAGATACAGCTGGTACAAGAATTGAAGCCACACGACCTCCCACAACGTTTCCAATTTGGTGAATGGGCGCTGGCAAAGTTGGAGGAAGATCCACATTTTTATCGAAAAATTGTGTTCAGCGACGAAGCTCATTTCTAGTTGAATGGGTACGTTAACAAGCAAAATTACCGCATCCG